CTTCTGGACTCTACTTGGACTCCTACCCTACAGGTCTACAGTTCGAATCTTCCTACAGCCTACAACCTACGGTGACCTACTTACCACTGGCTATCGTGCAGGTCACGGGTTCAACTCCAGGGAACTGTACAGATACTGTACACAGGTAAGCTGAGGTCAAGGGATCGACCCCTGGGATCTGCATCGGCTACTGCCAAAGGTGAAAACTGTTTCATATTTGATTGAGTCTATTTCTAATATTTATTATTATTATTATTTTCTTCTCTTTTGTTTGACGTAAATTAGCCAGTAAATTCAGCGCTACAATTTGCCAATTTATCAATTTCAGCTCACATTATGCGAGGCCAAAGGCGCTCTCGACAGTGAGGGCTACCAGTAGTTCCTAAGGCAGATGGGTATCAGGCGACATTTGCCGGGTACGAATGCAACCGCCTGGCTGCAATTTCTACCGGACCTGAAGTCTGGACTCTTCTGGGTTGGACTGGCCCTGTACAGTCGGGACTCCGTACGGTCCCGCAACCACCTGGCAACACCCCCCGCCGGGCCGCCAGTATGGTCCAGACTCCTTCCCATCCTAAAACCATTTGAAATTTGAACCACTGTTATGATGGTATCCCCTTCGGTTATGAATATCGGTGCATGTCAAAGCAGTGGCCGCTCTCAGAAGTCTGGTTAGCGCCCTGCTTAGTCCCCCCATTCATCGAGCATACAACACACGAACAAGAGTCCTTAACTCTCTTCTGGTCCGGTACCGATTGCAGCCGGTCCAGACCCCAGCCTGGCTAAATCTGGAAAAGGGCCAGGTAAGCCGTGGCCCATTCTGGCTGGGCGTTTGCCAGGTGGTCGCGAGAGCGTACAGACGTAGCAGCCAGTGCAGCAGCAGCAGCAGCAGCAGCAGCCAGCTACCGCTGGGATGAAGAAGAGAGGAGCAGCCATAGTTACAGCAGGCGCTGAGGTCAGGGACAGGCGGCGCTAAAGGAGGGGACGTCCTTGGAAGAAGGGGAGGCCTGTGGAGGAGGAGGAGAGAGAGATGGCAAGGGTCACCTGGTGGTCACTAAGAAGAGCTTCACAGCGGTAAAGCTTTCCGGTCACAAATCGGTGGGAGCAGCATTGTACTCTGCGGTATTGTATGTCGGTCCAGTGTGGGCTGCAGTAGAAATGTAGAGTAGATGGTCACATTCATTACCTGGTGGAGAATCCAGTTTCGCAGGGAGTTATTCTCACTGTCGTATTGACTGAGTGGATCCGAGAGTGGGGAGCTTTCATCATCAAGAGACTTCAACAATTTCAATTCTTGTGCCTGTTTGATGATCCCTTTGTCATTTCCGCTAAGCGGCTTATCGCCGCTGTCGGCATATGCATCCCGGTCAAGATAGTCCACTCAACGACACTGTGCTTGTAATGGGAGTTTCTCAATTGCAGTTGCCTTGCAATTATTTGTAATTTCTTTCTCCTTTCCAGTTTTACTTGATGCTGCTCTCCTTGTGACCTCTGTTAGTTTAGTCCTGAGAAAGAAGTGCTTCGCTACCCGATCACCCCCCGTGCTCCCCCCCTCCCCTTCCCCCCCCTCACTTTGGTTCTCAGACATTCTCTTTTGGTTCTCAGAGAGGGAAAACACAATCTTCATCTCCTTTTTGCTGATGTCCTTTCTCAGCTCAAGTCATCCACAAGGACGAAACTAACATCCCTTTTCAATGCCCGGGCCGCCTAAAGATGGGAAACTGGCCAAGGCATTGAAAAGGGACGTTAGTTTCGTCCTGAGAGCACTCTCTCGCCCATCTCTAATTAACGGATTTTCGACATGAGAAAAGTCTGTCTATTGTCTGTCTGCCCAGAATCCTCATCCTGTTGAACGAAGGGAAGCAGAAGTCTGTTGTCCTCTTTTTGGCTGCAACTGGGAGTCCATAAACGGTGGGAGCAGCTTGCCGAACTTCTCATTCTGTTGCCGTTCCCCACTCCTCACAGCACAACAGTTACTGCTTCGGGTCCGCTAACAGTAACAAAAATTGGTCAGAAACAACTAACAGTAACAAAAATTGGTCAGAAGCAACTAACAGTAACAAAAATTGGTCAGAAGCAACTAAC